CTGCTTCCAATAATTTGATTCATATGGAAAAAAGTTTTAATGACACAATCCCTGCCACTAATAGGCCAACAGTCCTTAAGGATGTCAAAGAAAGATTCTGAAAATAATTAGACTTAGCACTAAAATTAACAAGGGGGTTTGAAGAGGAAAATATTATTTTTTTCAATAGCATACAGTCTATAATACATCAGTCTTTTCACCCACTTATGTTTAGAAACATCAACACAGAAGTAAGGCTAATGTATCCAGAAGTTCTTAGTAATCTGTTTATAAACTTAGATATATGCAACTGTTTTCTTTTGAATTTGAATACCTAGAGTCTATGCCTACCAAAAATAATTATCATTCTGGCACACCATTAATGAGTCTTTTTTCCATTGCTGAATGTAAGTATTTGGGGTGACAAAACACCAAAGTGTTTGGATCTAAATCAAAAGGAGAGGATATAGTGAATTCAAATGAAACTTGTTTGCTTTATCATAGAGCAAGATGCTAAATTTTAATTTCACACACTTTGCATAAGATTATAATGCAAAAATACAGATTGCAACTAGTCTGTTCCAAATGCAATTTTATCTGTGTTGATAAAAATTAATATACCATCCTGAGTCCTTTAAATATATCAAGTTAATCTACAAGTCAAAACTAACAAACAGCAAAATGGTATTAATGGCGTAAAGGCCTCTTTTGTAGTCTCTGATTCGGGAGAACTGGTTACTGCAGGAAAGGCAGGTATATTGATAAATGATACATAAATTTATAAGCTTGGCCTGTTACTCATTTTTCACAGATGTATTGTTATTCAGAGATTTTTCAAGATGGCAGGAGCAAAGAGTGACTTAGATCTTACTATTAGCGAAGGAAGACACCAAATACCAAAAAGCCTGCTCCCTAAACCCCTTATTTCAGTACTTGAAATGGCACATGTCACCTGGATAACATTCATTTATCTTTCAGTTTAAAGATCAAAAATTCTCTTTATGTTTTCACAGTGCTCTGATTTTGAGAGCTTGATCCTGCTAAATCTGTTAGTCGGTTTAGGGCCCAATTACTAGTCACAGGAACAAATGAAAACTCCAGATAAGATGACACCATGCTGAGATAATTCAAAAGGAATCAGTCACACTACTTCAGGCTGACATTTTTTTTTTATTTTTTTTGCTTGAAATGTGGCTCTTTGAAAACTGAGAAAAAAAGGACCCCTTTTTTTTTTCCTTTTCTTTCAGAGTTTACCTAAAGCCTCAACTGTGTGAGTTGCATTATTTTTCTCCCCTCCGAGGTAAAAAAGAGCAAGTCTAGGTAGATAAAAGACATGTTTACTTGTGTCTGGGAAGGCTGCACACAAAGGATCCAACATCTCTGACACCTTTGTATTTAGCTAAGATCGCTCACAAGGCGCTAAATGGATGGTTTTGACTCCTTAAATCTATCATGTTCCAGAGTTATTTTTTTCTATATGAGTTCTTCATGTAATTACTGCTCTGGAAATGGACGTATGTGTTGCCTCTAGCAATATTTTCAATAATAACGTTTTCTTTACCCCAGTAGTGAATGATCAGATAGGTGAAAGCAGACTTGCTGCAAGTGGGGAAACTAAGGCTGACATTATAAACATATTTGTACTTCTCTAAATGTGACAGAAAAACTGGGTCCATTTCCCAATGCCATTGTCTTTGGTCCCAATTTACTTGCGCTAAATTACCTGCGTGTGTGGTTGTGTATGCTCCTCAGGTAGCTTTTTGTTGTGGGAATCTACTTGCCCAGCCAGTTTCCCTGTAGGAATCAACATGAAAACAAATTATCCTCAACTCTATAGCCTTAATGAGGGAAGGCACCACGGGAAAGTAAGGGGACATCAGAATATGGTTTTTTGGTTCCTTTTCTGTAATATAAGATATTGGCTTGTGGCATAAGAAATAAATTAAAAAATCTAAACAAAAAGTTTGTATTCTGATAAGGAGGCATAGCAAAAGACACAGGTATTGTGGGTTTTCCACATGGATAAAGAAGAAGTGAAAAAAATACTGGATCTAAATGTTCAGTGTTTCTTTATGGGCAGTTTTTATGTAATTGCATGCCATGGATTGGGATTTACAGTTGAACTGGATCTTAAAGGTCTTTTCTGACCTAAATGATTCTGTCATTAAAGGTATCATCAGCTGTACCATTGACTATGTCTTTCCAGCATATAAGAAACAGACAAAGAATACAATGTGATGCAAATAAATAAGAAACAAAAGCAATAGTTGTGTCAGACTGGTGTGGTTTGTGCTTAAGAGTCAGATTTTGAAAACCTGGAGTCGTTTGGTTAGGCTGCCTCCCTGCTACTAGGGAGGGCTTTGGATGATGATCAGTTTGGAATGAGCCTTGGAGGGGAACTTGGAGCCCTGCAGTGGGGAGCAGTGCCTGTAGCAATGCATCAGATATGGGTCCATGTTATCAGGCAGCTCTCCAAGCCAAGGCAGCGATCTGAGGGCTGTCCTAATGCTCAATTAGGCAGAGTACGCAAAGCCCAGCACCTTCTCTCAGAGGTGATAACCCTGTATTTAGGGGCCTGATCAGGAAACTCTCATTAAAAATGGATGAAACTAAAGCCAGTGATAGTGTGCTCATCTGGAGCATGAAGAGTCTTGTCGCTCAAGCATGCATCCAGGCAATGTGTATCCAAGATGCAATTCCTTCCCTAGCCTTCCCATTTCCTATCTTGTAGGAAAGGGTGCATTGTAGAGAAGCAAGATTCAGGATGGGAACAGTTCCAGGCATGGAGAAAAGCATACAGCAATCGACAGGACTTTCATATGGACTTTACTGTTATTATGTGGTTTCATTGTATCCATACTACACAGTGCACAACTGCACATGCCCAGGCTTCCTCCTCCCCCTTTTGCCTGTACCCTATTGTGATTTGCTCCCCTGCTTGTCTGTCTGATAGCCAACCCTTTGTTCTGCCCCTTCCCCTGGCGGGAGGTTTTAAGAATCAGCCTGAATAAACAAGTCTGCTTGCACCAGTCCTCGTGTCCTGTCCCCTCATCCCTATCGGACCGCGACAGTGCATAGATTACTGCAAATGGGGAGAAGATACTTTTCTACCTGGCCAAGCTGTGCTCCTGTTGAAGACTGGCTTCCAGGAAGGAACATGTGGTGAAACTGTTTTCTCTAACAGCTGTTTGTGCATTTGATCTTTCATAGCTGATGACCTAAATGCATTTTTAAATATTATCATGGGATTTCCCCTGTTTCTCTATTTTAGTTCACAGTAGAACTTAATTCCCTCTGAAGTGCAGTGAGTGAGGGAATACAAACTTTATGCATCTTCATGACTTATCTCAAATATTTAACCCAAAACTTCATAATTTAAAGAAGGATTTAGACAGTTGGAGTGTGGGATTAATGGCTTATATCCAAACCTAATAATAAAAATGAAAAGCCATCATTGCCTTTTAAGTCACGTCAAGGCACATGCTACAGTTCTGTTGAAAGACCTTTGAATACATGAGAAACTTCTCAGCTTGAAAAGACTGTAACAAAGAGAGCAAAAATACTTGTCTGTAGGGAAAGTATTTTAAGTCTAAACCCTTATAAAATGGATAGGGAACTATTTTCCAAAGAAGTTGTAATCAAGTTTATAGCAGCTCAATCGGAGAGCCTGATCCAGTACTTGTGGATCCGTCTCAGCTGTTAGCAGACTCAGTGCCTCTGTGCAGGTGTTTAATTAAGATGTCCAGATAGAAACTAGTTTTCTAACCAAAGGCGCCAGTCTTGTAATTATCTGTCTTTCTGTTTTTGTGGAGTCGCTATCACATTTTCCACAAAATTTTCACGACATGCAGAGCCTCAGTTCAATGGGCATCTGCTCTGGGCTCTTGAAGCAGGTACTTTAGCCTTGTTATAGTCAGTGGCACTTTGATAGAAGAGATGAGCTACGAAATATCTCACACTCCTCCCTGAGGAGGTCACTATCACAAAGACTTCGCAATGGTAACATCTCTTGGCACGAGATGCAACACTGTTGTGAGTGTGTGTATATATATATGTTCATATATATCTATAAACAGTGGGTTCCTTCATTTTTAAGCTATTTAAAAGCAACTTGTATTTGTCGAGAGAAGAACCTATCTGCTTGCTTTGGCCTTCTCCCAAATACACTTCAATGACAGGAGGACTGCAACGGAAAAATACTCCTAAGCCTTTTTTCAGAGGCTGCAGCTCTGAGACACCCAGCTGAGATGCAGAAGCCAGCGAAATGTCAAACTGAGTTAACTTTGTAGTACTCCAGACGCGTGCCTTGAAGGACACCATGCATACCACCACCTCAGCGACTCATGCCCTGTCTCTGCCAATTCCTGGACCTCACAGAAAGTTGGGAGGAGGAAGTATGAAGACATGCATAAACATAATACTGCACGGTTAGTGTCAGCTTCACCCTGTGAACTCAAAAAGTCAGTCTCTGATGGGTCTGGGAATAACTATGAGTTATCAGTTGGATAAAAACCTCACCTGCAAGGAGAGCATTAATCACCCTAAGGGAACACTGATGCTATCTCACTGAGCAAAGCCACCTAAAGGATATCAAGATGGGAATAACCTCTTGCCGTTGTTTCAGTGTGATTAATACCTGAAGATGTTTTTGCTTAATCATTAAGCAAAATGAATTTACAATGTTGTCCTTGGAAAAATAAGATTGTCTCCTATCCTAGCACTTAGGGCAGTGTACTGGAAAAGGTACTGGACAAGAACTTGTTTGTTTCTCTTACCACTTAAAGCCTGTATGCTTGGAGCTCTGGGTACAGAGAGCTTGCTTCATGAGCCACCATGTGTTGAGAAGGCTCCATGTTACTGTTCTTCCTTTACAGAGTATCTCAAATATTTTTGGCCCTGCTCCTGGAAGGTGCTGAGCACCATTGCTCCATAAAGAGGATTGGCCTTTGTGAAGCACTGTGAGATATCTTGCCTGGATAAGGAGACCTTTTCTAAACCAAACTCCTTCCGGTGACATACCCAGGTGTGATTATTGACATTCAGGTAACAACTACTAATTCAGGGTCTTGGGGGTCTTTGTCTCTCTACCAGCACAATCTCATTTCACTGCCTTACAAGCTCTTGCAGTCGACAATATTGCTTAACTTGTGGTCCCAGGTTCTGGCATCAGCTGTGATTATTCTGAAAGACAATGGCTGTGAAATACTCTTCCAACTGTGGTGTGAAGTGGGAAGGAATGAAGAGGTGAAAGGGCTTGCTGCTGCTGGACAGGGAGCAGAGGTAGAAATACCTACAGGGGAGAGAGATTTGGGGAATTGTGTGAAAGGGCCCCTCTATTCCACATTAATACTTTGAAGATACAGTGGTAAGTTATATTAAGGCAGCATACTGAGAAATGACAGCAAGCTGCAAGAATAACAAGGTGCCACTGATTATGACATTACAATATCATTCCTGCTTTTCTGCAATACACCTTCAAGAAAATAAAAATAGCTGGCTTGAGCTAGAGGTAGTTGCTTATAGAGTGACAGGTAGCATTGAAAACCATCGTGTAATTTAGCTGTCAATGAAATATTGCTCCTAACAGCATATTTCTTACATATTTGCTCCCTCAAATTTTAGATTGTAATTACTTAAGATACCTTTTTAATTAAGGTAACAATTAAAACGTGCTAATTCTGCTGAAGTGCCAGTGAAATGAAGTTGCTCTTGTTTGTACCATCATTTTGTAACCAGCTGAGGGCACTACCCTGATGTAGTAATAGAAACACAAAGTAGGAGACCATCTCTGTCCTAGATAGCTTAAATTTTCAAAGCAAAAGAGAAACGAAGACAGGGATGCTTTTTTCCTCTCTCTATCCTATTTTTATTTCTGCTCTTATTTTCTTTTAATCAATCTATTTCCTCCTTCTTAAACACTGTATTCCAAAGAGTTGTCCATGCCAACACTCAGCCTAACTATTCGAGTTTGTTCTTTAATTTCTTGTAGTTAATCAGCTACCATCAAAGGGTGTTTTTATTAAGGAGATAAACCTGCCTACATTTAAAAATGCTTTGAAACAATGTTGGCAATGTTTATGATACTCCATAAATGGAATAATGATTACAAAAAAAAATAAATCTCTTATATTGTGGACCCTAAACCTTGTCCCAAATTATAAGTTATAAAATAAGGGACAATTAGCAATGAAATAATAAGCTACAAGGTAATAATAGCTTTTTTTCTTTTTCCACAATAGTATAGTTCCTCGGTAGTATTAAATGATAAATAAACAAATAGTTGAATGACTGTATTTAGTAGATCTATTTTTAATCTCACTTGCACTATTGTAGTTCAGGAATAACTCCAGTGTGAAACATTTACAGTTAGGATAGATGAAGCCAGGGTTCATGTAAAAATAGAATTGTTTTATATAAATGTAAATAAACATTTAATTTCCCCTCAACTTTTGCATTACATTTGCAAAAAGGAGTTTTTACACACTGATCAAATGAAGAACAAGTACTTAAAAGAAGGAAAGGTCTTTTTAGGGCTCCAAGACGGGACCTGGACCTCCCTTTGAAAACTGATGCTTATTATTGAATTTGATCACGGCAATAGCAGTTCTTTCAAAATGGACAGAGGACCCTAAGGACAGAAACTTGTGTGCAGACACAAGCACCTAAAATTTGTTACAAGTTCAGCAGCCTTCTGCTATAGGAGAACTGGCAGTAAGAAGATCGTGAGGCTATCTACATGTAAGTCAATACAAGGCAAGTACAAGTACTGTACATCCCACAGTTCCTTCCAAAGAACCTTTTTGCCATGAAAAGAGCAAGAGGCAACACAGCTGTCTTTCCATGGAGAATCTTTTTATACCAGTGTTTATCTGATTGCAAACAAATGTGCAGAAAATTTTCTTTGGTAAATAGTGAATTACTCCTCTACAGTGGGTACGAAGAGCAGTACTACTTCCTGGGAGAAATGCTTCTCCTCAACAGAAATGTATTCTTTCTTTTCCAGTTTTCAAGTCAAAGCGAAATCCATCTCTTTTCTCTAAGTCCTCCAAAATGCTACTGTAAAGCAGCAACACTAATCAGCAATGCTGAAGTGCTTTCTGGCACTGGGATTCCTGCTGGGATATTGGACTTCCAGGGAGAAAAGGAGGAGGAAAAGGAGAAGGGAAAATTTCTCATGGCTTGATGTGTTAGTGATTTGGCCATCCTGCTTGGATTATTATATGATAGAGAAGCAGAAATGACCATCTAAACCAAACATTAATGTTTAACTTAAAACTATCCCTTCGTTAACTGCAGAACTTATCAGTGAACTGAGATAAAAAGTCCAGTTCTGCAGCTGGAAGAGGAGATCTTTACAGTTCAGGCTCTCATCAGTAGCAATAAAGGCAGCTCCAAACCAAGAGCACAAAGAGATAGGGACTTCCGTGTTACACATTGTCTGTATTACAGCAAAGCAGAACTAATAAACAGGGTTGGCTTGAACAAGGGCATGGCTAGTCATTACCATTCTGCAAAACACCTTTAACGTGACTTATATTGCAACAGTTTAACTTGTTTACTAAGTTTAACAGCTTACTTCCAACTGCTGGAAGTAGGACTGGGTGTTGCAGTATCACCTCCCAGGAAGTGCCAGATCTTACCTATGCTTCCCACCAAACATTTTCATTGCTGTTACACAGTTTATTGAATTTGATATTATTTCTTTAATCATCTTCAAATGCAGTCAGCACTGTGATCTGCTGTTCATTCCCCTGCAGGTGTTTGGATCTCTGCAGCTCCTGGTCATTATAACAACAGTGTCAGCAAGTGGTCAGGACTGGACTCAAGAACTGTCACATGAAGAGTTATCATCCTGCTCCTCCTCCTCCAAGGGTCTCACCTAGTCAGCTAGAGAGGTGACTAAGGCTTGATTGCCTGCTTCCACCAAAGGTATGCCACCTATCAATGAATGTTGTTAAAGGAAGTTAAATAACCCCATTCTCTGTTATCTTCCTTGACATGATTGCTTAGAGGGAATGTTCCTTTCAATGGAGTAATTGATTTGGTAAATTAATTCCTACTGCTGTACACATCCTTATTTCCTTTCATGTCAAATGTTCTTTACGTTATTTGCAAACTGGGTGAATTCTGACTTTGTTTTCCTCTATGTTGGTTGCAAAATGTTCAGTTTTCATTGGCACCCCTGTCCCTGCACGCACCTGAAGTGCTGCATCCCAGGGAGAAAAGCCCATGAAGCACACACTTCAGGAGTGACAAGGAGGGCATCAAAGCACATTCAGGAGCTGCTTCTCACATGTTTATACGTTCAGTTGATATTTTATCAGTCATCCTAGTTAAAAAATCAACTCGGATTTCTTGTTAAATGACCGCCCAAGAACACTAAGTTTTCTTTTAACAGTGCTTAACGGGATGAGAGGAAGTGAGATACAAAATGTTCTTACTACTAAGGAATGAAGGAAGAGAAAATGCACGGCTGACTGCCGTACACTATTTCTAGAAATAGGCATACTACATTTTTCTATAAAGCAGCTACTGCTCCTTAAAATGACATCAGATAAAATACAATTGAAACTGAACACTGAAGTCTTTGTTTGACGTTCCCCGCACTCCTGGCTTTATTATCCTTTCAAATAATTTTTCCCCTCCTCATAACACTGAGCTGTTTTAGCCTTGCCTGAAATCTTTCTACAGCTTTATTAAACTGACTCCCTTTTCTACATAAGCTTTTCCAGTTGCGATCCAAATGCTTTTGAGCACCATTGTCTGTGTATTACTAGTGCATTACCATGAAGTTCCACCAGCTACTCCCCTCTCTCCCTCAAGTACAGCAAAACGTAGCTGCTACCTTATTTCTTGTTTGAATTATTAATAATTTCTGCACTCTGTTAATCTGTAAGTATGTCCTCACATTCATTTTCTAAACGTTGCCACTGTTCATACTTACTTTTGTTTATGAAAGAGACTATTTTTGTGATATTCTATAAGCTTTTCTTGACGTTTGTCTGTTTCAAAAATATCATAGAATAATTTAAAATATCCCTAGAATATTTTATTTGTTTGCTTTATTTTTTTTTTCCTTTATGGCATTTTAGTTTCCTTGTTTTATTTTCTTAAACTGTTAGATGCTAATGAAACATGATGAAGACATTTGTCTCTTGTCTGCATCTTTCCAGGTGATTTGCATGTAACCAAGATAAAAAGAAAAAGATACCATCACCACTGCATATATCCCCTGTATTAGCAGCCATTTTGTGATTCTGATATTAAAAGGTACGTGTTTATTCAAGTCACCATAAGGTGACAACTACATATATACATGTATATATATATATATATATACTCATTCTTTTTAGAGTGGAAATGCATAGAATTCAGCAAAATTGAATATTTTATTAGAAAGAGGTAAAATCATATTGACTGGAGATACTGATACGTAAACCCATTGCATGAGTTTGGTTACTCTAGCAGTAATCTGTTCTGACCTGTGCTATGATGCTCCTTGTTCAATTGTGGCATAACCAAAATGTCTACTTTGTACATAACTGAATCTGGAGAAGCCTGTCTAGTTTTCTACAGTAGGGTTAAATGAGTGTGCATTCAGTGGCCTCTGTTGCAAATGTTTTCCAAATTGAAGTTTGGAAATGGAAAGGTATAAAGGATAAGTGAAATATGTGTGAAACTGAGGCATCCAGCAGGCTTTGTGGTAGATGAAGATAATGGCCCTGAAGTCTCTCTAGACAAATATCTGATTAAATCCCTCACATGCTGGGATCTCTTGACTTGTCTGTTTGCAATGCCCATGGCAAAACTAGGTTTCATCCCATTTTTGGATCAGTGACCACACTGTAAGTGGGGGGGAACCACGTGGACCAGGGGAGATACATAACTCAGGGGGAAACCGTTACAATAAAAATGCAAGGAGTTGTTTTTCTCTGCTTTGATCGATTCCAAGAAGCCGCTGCTGTGGTGAGTCTTCTTCTAAAGCTGTTCCTTCCAGCTTTCATAATCCTGTTGTTCTCCTACACAATGCCCGTTCCTATCACTCTCTTCTGGAGGTGCAATGCCTTGCACTTTTTTGGAGCCCTTCACAAATGCATCTGTCGGGGTCCCATCCTCTCCTCAGCTTGTGTGGGAACCAGCTCCCCTCTGCAAGACGCAGCTCACAGGTGGAATACACTCTATCTGTCAAAAGGGCCAATGTGAAGATAACTTTGCTCTCTTGGAACCCACTGCTGGCTAAAGTGAGATTGAGCAACATCACACAAGCAGAGCCATTGCCTGGCCTCCCAAAAGCACACAGCAACAAAAAGAGAAGCAAAAATAAACAGTCAGCTTTTACTTAATATTGGTCAAGGAACCTTGGGCCCCTTTCAGACATGACCTGCAGTGTTTCGGCTCAGGTATCTTCCCGGGCACTGCCCAAGCAAGTGCCAGCATCTTGTCTGTGTCAGGGAAACTCAGTTCATCAGAGACCAGTTAGCACCATCCCAGTCTGGGACTCCTGGTCCTCTCTCCTCAATCCTGTGCAGCCTGGGAAGTTCTCCTGACCATTTCTGTGATCTTGTTCTTACTTCCTATTGTCCTCTGTAAAAGGGACAGTTGCCAAATATTTGCAGCCACTTGCACAGTCCAAGGCTGGAAGAAATAGCCAGACTGGGGTGTTTAAGTCTGGGGTGCTTGTTGCAGAACTGTTGTTAAGCCTTACCCACAGAAGTTCAATCCAGAAATTACTATAATCTAAGCTATAAAAACCTCATCCTCCACCACATCTTTGTTGCTAAATCCCAGAAACTGCTTTGTCTCTTTGGAAATGTCCTGATTTTTTTTCCATGCTGCCTCAAAAATTCCTGTAATAATCCCTTTTGCTTTAGGCCAAATTGCTGCTGTTGTGACTGGTGATGATAATATCTGAAGGGGATTGTTGATTAGATCCACCTCTTGGAGGTAGTGTTCACCTTTTTATGGAGAAAACAATGTGAGAAGAAAATGGTACTTTGATCATCACTTAAGATGGGGTTTCTTTTCCTCAGTATGTATTAGTATTTAAAAAATAGTTCTACATTTAAATAATATGCCTACATTTAATCTCTTCATCCTAAAAATTACACCCAAATTTAGATTTTCTTCTCTCAGTTAACAAGTCATCTCCACAGCAGTGCTTTGCAGCTTTGCTCTCCTGCAAAATCAGCATTTGATCACTTTCAATATTAGTGTTTCCAGTTTCAGGAAATGGACACTGAGGATAACATCTACTTCACAGGCCTTTTCAAAGCTTTACTTCATAAAGTGAAGTAAACCTTGCAACCTTGCTTCTAAGGGAAGGTTGGAAAATGGGGCCCATCCTTCATACAGCCAGGATCTCCAGCCAAAATGAACAATGTTTCCCTCATCTTGTTCATCATGCTTGGGTCTTCAATCTTTCTTCTCTGTCAGAGAAACATAATTGAAATTATTAATATTACCATAGCCTATCACCTTAGTGATGCATCAAAGTTAAGGAATTATGGATGGACTTGGAACTACACATTTTGTTACCAGGATAGAATATTTTTAGAATAAAAGTATTAGGTTTTGACCTTGGAGTCCATCCTATCACAGCCCAATACAGCAGCTATTCTGAATTTAGCCCAACCAAGTATCTAACATTCAAGTATTACTCTACCAATTTAAGACACTACAGCAACAACTTCAAGGAAACATGGAGGGGAAATTGCAGGAATGAAGAAAAACACACTTTAAAATCTTATGTTTTTTAAATCTTTACTTACCTTGTCAAAAACAAGATGGCAGAGAGCTTTGCAAGTACTAAATGCCTTCTGCACTTATCAAGTGTTTCAGTATTGACACTGTTCTTATTCAAACACAAAAGCTATTTTTTTCAGTATCAGGCTTGTTCTCCCTTATTCATGTAAAATATGCAATGTGTGTTAGTTAATTAATTTTTCTCCCTCCCTCTGGCAGCCAGGAGGGCCAATCATGTCCTGGGGTGCATCAGACAAAACATCACCAGCTGATCAAGAGAGGGGATTGTCCTGCTCTACCTGCACTGGTGCAGCCTCACCTTGATTATAGTATGCAATTTTGGGCACCACAATGTAAGAAAGATATTAAGCTCTTAGAGAGTGTCCAAAGGAGGGTAGCAAGGATGGTGAAGGGCCTCGAGGGGAAGCCACAGGAGGAACAGCTGAGGTTACTTGGTCTGTTGAGCCTGGAGAAGAGGAGAGTGAGGGGAGACCTCACTGCAGTCTACAACCTCCTTGTGAGGGAAAATGGAAGGGCAGGCACTGATCTCTTCTCTCTGGTGATCAGTGACTCAAGGGAATGGCCTGAAGTTGTGTCAAGGGAGGTTTAGACTGAATATCAGGAAAAGGTTTTTCACCCAGAGAGTGGTTGGGCACTGGAACAGGCTCCCCAGGGAAGTGGTCACAGCACCAAGCCTGTCTGAGTTCAGGAACCGTCTGGACAATGCTCTCAGGTACATGGTGTGATTCTTGGAGTTATCCTGTGCAGGGCCAGGAATTGAACTCCATGATCCTTGTGGGTCCCTTCCAACTCAGCATGTTCTATGATTCTGGAAATGAAGAAAGAGAGATGAGTCCCCTGGGCTGTTGGTGTTGGGTGCAAGTCTTCCCAGAACATTCAACTTGACATTTGTGCATTGAAAACTGATGCAACAAATGTTTCTTTAGAAAATATTTCCCCTAATTTACTTATAATGTAGAAACTGTAAAGCTGCTCAGTCTTTGGTCGTTTTTTCAATTTTTCGTTTCAGTAACTTGACTATGAGTCAATTGAAGGTTTTATGTGAAAAAATATTGCAGGTAGCCTTTCTCCTGGATTGAAGAGATTAAATGAGACTTAAATAGGATCAGCACTTTGTAATTGTCTATGCTTTCTAGCACTGAAAAGAAGTGCATGATGTCTGTAACATATTGAATTTTATCCTAAACTTTCAGATAGCATTCAGCTCACCCCTCCGTTGCTCACTAAGGCAGTAATGTCCTCCTCATCCACTTCAGCTCTGGAGATAGAGATCTTCCAGTACATTGATGCACATCAAAGTGATTTCATTGAGGTAGGAACTATATTGCCATGAAATGGTGAGTACAGAGCTGGTACCCCAGAGGCCTGTGCTCTATGTTCTGGAGAAGTGTTTGTCACTAAGGTAGTGAGCAGTATTCCAAGTCTGGCATCAAGAGTGCAACATGCACTTCACAAAGCAAGGCTGCAAGGGAATGGACTGTGCTGGGGACCCTAGTGGTGAAAGAGGGATTTGCATGGACTTCCACAAAAGAGATGATGGTGGGCATCCTTTGAGTGGGTGCAGAGAGAGGCTCCACTAAGCCAAAACGCACCGGCATGGTAGATGCAAGCCAGATAGGATGCTTGCTCTCTTGTTTTACATCAGAACTGATTGTTGTAGGTTTGCTCTTGACGAGGAGAGAAATCTTGGTCCCATGCTGGTTTGTGCTTTCATTTTTGTCAGCCCACTGTGAAAAGGCAGAAACATAATTAGTCCAGTCAGTATCAGTTATGCTTTAAAACTACGAGCACTTCTGAATCCTTACGAGCGAGTGCCACTAAGGTAGCTCGTATACAACGCAATTCCTACAATATAAACTAGTCAGCATCTACCTCCTTTTCCACTGGATTTTAAATCCATGGTTGATGATGTGAATGCCTAAGTGTGAGCATCCTCCCCGTTTAGAAAATCAGGAATCCCAACCCTGGGGAAACATATAAGCAATTCATCTTTATTCTGAAACCTTAGAGCATCTACAACATTGCTGTGATGATACAGAAAGGAAACCGTCTTCCAGTGAGAGATTTCAGATGTCAAGGGCAAGACACTATAACATTCTGGGTCATCTAACTGCATTTTTCTTTCTGTGCAGAATCTTAAGGAATGGGTGGCTGTGGAAAGCGATTCTGTTCAACCAGATCTGAGGAAAGAAGTAGTACGAATGATGGCATTGGCAGCAGACAGACTTGCAGCACTGGGAGCCACTGTCAATTTAGTAAACCTGGGGTCACATCAGGTGCTTGTCTGATTCTTGGGTTTAAATCATCATATTTGCATGTGGTCCACCTATTGCATTCAGTGCTGTGTATATGTATGTTATGGCATTATGACATTTTTGGTAGCTAGCTATCAATTTATCGATAGTCCTGTACCTACACAATATCTGCTGAAATCAGTCCCTCCCCAGACTGTCTGAGAACATACTTGGGAACCACACAGACAATCCAAATGCAAATAGATGTTCTCTGCAGCAGGGAGTTTGATACTTTTAACTGGAGGGAAGCAGTTTGCAAAAGTAAAAGGACTGAGTTTTTTACCAGAGCTTGTTTTCACATTTTTCTCAGTAGTGAAGCATGGGCATTAATGCATCATTCATCACTGAAGTCTCCATATGAGAGAGGCAGCTTTTGCAAGGAAAATATTGTCAGACAGAAAGGATTATCTATCTAAAGTATCATCTTTGGTTTTGGGAGCTTCTGGCAAATGATGCAAGCTATTTTCTTAATGATTGTTGGAAAGCAAAAATTAATCTCTGAGAAATCTTTGTCTTTAATTTACTTACCTTACTGTAGCTGGGGGCTCTTTTCTGCCCTGGGCAGACATTTCTACTCTAACAGGAATTCAAAAGTTCAATAATAGTGATTCCCTTTTCCTTTTTCTGAGGCTTCTGGGGAGGATTCTGAGAGTCTTAGCTCAAGGACCTTATAGTACAGCAACACTTTAATATTTCAGGTTATGTAGTTTGATAGTTTCAAAGAAAGTAATTGGGCCATAAGGAACTCTGTTCTGCACAGAGGTACATTACAGGATTAGTTTAGAGCCTTAACCTGTTTTCAAATCAGTCTGACATAGCTGCTGCTGCTTCCTGCCAGCAACACTTCATTTTGTTTCTATATTTGAGGCTATAGGCGTCCTGCTCTCTGTCTGTGCTGAAATCAAACCCCAAATTAATTTGTATGGCTTTTGACTATTTCAGTGTCACAACAGACTCTATAGCATGCGTTCATCTCTGTCTTCTCCAGTGCTGGGAATTAAGAATTTAGTAAGAAGGGCATTTTTGACAATAAAATGTTAGAAGAGCTTCATAAAGTCCTTGCAGAATCTAAACAGCTGGGGAAAAAAATCTTAGTTTCTCTGAATAGCGTCCTTTAAGGTGAATTTGCACTACATGTTCTTTTAGAGTGCTGAGGAACAGTTTTGTGTCGAGGAACAGTTTTGTGCCATTTTTACGACTTTGCGGCACAAATTGAGCATTAAGTCTTGGTTTTTTTTAAAGTCCTCTTTCAAGGTTCTGGAAAGCACATTTTTCTTGCATCTATAGTACTGACTAGACCTCGGTGTCTCTTAAGTGCTAGCAAACACACATGTTATTTGCCTAAAGAGTAGTTGTTGTAAGTAGATATGGTTGTGGGTCTGACTTTATGCATCTTTCCAGTTTTTTAAATCACTGTGTAGCTATTTTGACATTTTAACAAGCAAGCAAAAAGAAATCTTTGTCTTTTGAAGCCTTTCTAGAAAACACCACAGGCCATCAAACAATATTCATGGACAATTTTTTTCTAAAATTTTTGTGGCTGGTCAATGAACCATCAGTGACACAAGTTCATTTAATTTTACACATTTATTCTTGCCTTTAATCTGAACATTGAATCTAAAGACAAAACATCTTAAAACCTGTAATGAGAAAGTGAATTGTAACAGGAAACTAAGTTGAAATTCATATCTCCTACAGATGTGTCAGCGTTTCCAACTCCCACTATTCCATAATAAAGGTTCTCCTAACTACTCTTGGAAATGCATCCTTATCAACCAGCAGGCATGCAAATTCATGAGTGCTAAAAGGACAGTTATAGTAGAATCAGTGGCAACACTTTTATCACCATGTAAATCTGGTGATAGACAACATGCTGGTGTTACGACCCGCCCCAGAAAAAGGGGGGAGGGGGTAACCCAGGTTCTTATCAATAATTCCCTTGGGGTGGATTAGAGTGAAACGACACTGAATAATCAGTGTTTGAAAACATATATAGGTAGGGTTTATTTTAAACATATATAGATTCATTTTAACAATTTTGTTTGAACAGGTATGTTAGCATATTGGGTGTCATCCTCTATATCATCTATAACAATATGGCATAGGGATAACTTCTGGGGGGGAAAATGCATAAGGGAGAGAAAGGAAAGACAAGATAAGGGTAAGGGAGAGTAAGGGAAAGAAAAGATAAGAGTGGAAAGGTATCTATAGTCACCGCCCACGGGGTCCAGAGATGAAACTCGGTAGTTGCAGCTTCCATGTCTGTCAGTTGAAGTGGTGGCCTTAATTCATTGGGGGTGAAGGAGGGAAGCCCCCACACTCAAAGAAGTTATGAGTTATTATATCCATGGTTAGTGTCACAGGCCATGTCACGAACCTCCAACATCTCCTGGGCCTGCGAAGAGTTCCTGTGTGGGGCCTTTTAAAAGGGTTTTTCCCACCTTTTAAGATTGGCAGAGGGGGGGATGGGCTTTGATGGGACATCAGAGGTATAATGCAAAAGTCCTGCAGAAGCCTGCAAAAGTCCCTTGGCAATCCTAGAATGCATAAATCATGAACCGTTTCAGTCTCTGACAGCTGGGAAAACCACAGCCAGTGGTTCCTGCATGGGCAGTAAGAGTGGAAATACAAGAGGCAGGAAGTATTCTGTGAAAATGCAACTGTTATTACACAGTTAGAACTTCCAAAGCCATTAGAGTATTGAATAGCCCTGAGAGAAAGCCCAATGAAACATTCCAGAAAATTTTCTGAAAAAAACACACACAAAAGATATCACTCTCCTTCAAAACCAAAAAGTAGATAAAAACATGAGGAAAAGAATAAGTTTTTCTGGGAACCTATATGTGTCTATCACTGCATGTTCTACTGAAGCAAGATATATATCCTACATCCTTCTTTTCTTAACACAATGTTACATCAAGCCAGTCTGCTCCTATTTTAAAGTTTATTTTTTTGATTTTTGAAAACGCTTTTTTCTCACCCAGATTTTCTAATATTAATTTAGGCTATGCCAGTGAACTTCAGGTTCATAATAGAAGGCATGGAAGAAGCAGGGTCCTTGGGGCTAGAAAACTTACTTGAAAAAGAAAATCAGTGCTTTTTCTCTGATGTTGATTACTTTGTAATTTCGGACAACCTCTGGCTCAGCAACAAGAAGCCTGCCCTTACATATGGGAGTCGGGGAAATGCCTGCTTCTTTGTGGAGGTAAAGGACACAGGTTCATTTGAACTGAACCTCTGACAGGTAGCAGTGATGTAGCCGTAATTACATCTACGTGCAGAGAATGACTGAGGGAAAGCTTAATATTTACAATTACAGAGCTTTCTTCTGCATCCCTTTTGGCTTCTACAGATTTCCCCCCTCATTTCAGTTCAATTAGCCCTATTTACTTCCATTAACTTCTCTTCAATCATCATCTCTCCACTTACCTATCTCCCCTTGATCCCTTTCCTATTCCATTACTCTCCTGCCACTCTTCCACTCTCTTCTCATCCTCCTCTCTGCACACCAACTCTGTTCTCTTGCAGCATCATCCCTACACACCCCCCCTCCAACTCTCTCCAAAACCATTTCTTCTGCTGCTCTGCCCTTTTGCAGCAGATACTGCTTAGTGCAATGAATCTGCCTAAAGGAACTCAGTTTATTTGGATGTTTGGGTTTAAAAGCCACACAAGATTTTTGTAAGCATTGACAGGAGTGAATAAAAGTGCACTGTAGCCAACGTGCTATATTTAGCAGCCAACGTGAGCTACTGCAAAATGAGGAGCAGAAATTTCTCATCTGGAAATGCTTCCTGATGAAGCATAAAAGGAATTCAGAGAGAAGATTACAGAACTCGAGAACTAAAGGAAAGTCTGCATTAACCTTTATGCCTGAAAAATAATGAATTTTTTTTTTTAACCAAAAGAGCCTTGACAGCCTTCATTCCATTCTTCTAAATCTTGGTTAAGAAAAATGATGCTATTAGAACATCAAAAATTATCTCTGCCTGCTACTAGACAGTTGGCTGTAATGAGGTTTTGAGAAAAATAACCAAGTTCGTTGCAAGAAAATATTTTATGATAAACTGAAGTATGAAAATGTGTCTGGAAAAAACTCATTTAATAACCCAAATGCCTCTATTTTAAAACCATATGATTCAAGAGACCTATAAATTTTTATTTGTTGCAATTTGGAATTAAGGTTGGACATATATTCTTAATATAAAACAATTAAGATACATTCTTGCTTTTGTTATGAAGATTTTGCATTAAATAAAAAAGATAGATACCTTAAAGAATTTATTCTCCAATGTTAGAAACAGTAATACTCAACTGTTTCACTTATGATGTATTTAATCTTACTGAAGCAAAAGAGGGAATAGAGGGGAATCCTTATGGTTGTGCACTGGAACAGGCTCCCCAGAGAAGTGGTAACAGCATCAAGACTGACAGAGTTCAAGAAGCATTTGGATGATACTCTCAGGCCCATGGTGTCACTCTTGGGGATGGTCCTGGGCAGGGCTAAGGGTTGGACTTGATGATCCTTGTGGGTCCTTCCAACTCAGCATAATCTATCATTCTGTGAAATATGTAAGTGCTACAGACAGCTGAATTTCTCTCTCTAGTGGCTGACAACAGAGCCCCATTTCCCTTTACCGAAGTGTATTGTTCCTGACATGATGTTTTCCATGTTTTCCATTTTATAAATAGAAACAAATAATCATTTCTATTCATTTGTGGTCTCATTTAAAAAACTGAAACCACCAGCCTCTGCGGACAACAAACACAGAAGAATAAGGTGATGAGTGTTTATGTGTAACCGGTGGTTTTGGTACAGGTTGAATGTGGCAGCAAGGACCTTCACTCTGGAACTTTTGGAGGCATCATTCATGAACCCTTGATGGATCTGATAGCTCTGCTGGGTAATAACACACACCACTGCTCGGGAGTAACTGGGAAGCAGTGGCTAGGGATCAGCCTAACAAAGATCAGTACCATGTTTAATTTATCTGAATAAGGCAAGTCTAATTGAAGGAAGATTTCCAAACCTCAACATACCTATGGTGACAGCAGCTGAGGAAGGGAACATCCTCAGTAAGGCCAGGACTTCAAACATGTTAAGCTGATGTCAGTCATGTGTCAATTAAGAACATTTAAGGATTGCTGGCAAGTTTAATACATACACATATAACAAAACCTGGCTTTTTAATGATGATTAGTGTCTCGGGATGATGTTTTCATGTTAGAAGCTGGGCTGACATACCACACACTACACACAAACAGTAGCTCAGTAGTTTTCTTAATAAATACGAAAATACATCAAGTTTGATGGATGCAAACGGTTGTTAGTTGTTGGGTTTACTAATCTGGTAAAGAGCTAGGTAGAAGCAAAAAGGTGTTACTGTTGCCAAGTGGAAGAAATAGGTTCCATTTGTACTGATATCTCTATCTCATTTTGTAGACAGCCTTGTGGATCCCACAGGTCATATTCAGATCCCTGGAATCTATGACAGCATTGCTGCCCTGAGAGAGGAGGAGAGGAAATTATACAAATCGATTGAATTTGATCTAGATGAGCATAAAAATAATAGTGGTGTGAAAAAATTCATCTTTGGCACCAAGGTAACAAAATATCTGTATAAATACTCTGCCGAAAGAATTTAAATCGCTCATTTGTAGCATTTATGTATAAAGCCAAACCGAAAGATATTTTCAGTCAATGGTAAACTCAGAATAAAATAAAGTAGCACTGAGAAGTAAAAGGTAAATAAAATTAGTCTGCTGAAGATATAAGGCACTGCATCTGGGGAAAGTGACATGAAAGATGAATAATCAATGAAAAGGAATAATGCAAAACTAACAGTATTGCTCTCCCTTCATTGCCTACCCCTTCTCTCCCGTCAAGCCTAACCAGCCAAACAAAATAAGCATAAAATGTCTGTATTTAGGTTACATAGTAGGAAAGAAGTTGTATTCAGCTCTGAAAAACAGGAGGCAGCTTTAGGCAGATATGTTTTGCGTGGGTTTTATTTGTTTAACACAGATTTTTATGTCTGCCAAAAAAAGCACCCAAAGCTATAAGCCTCTCCTTACCAGCAAATTAAAAATTATATTCTAAATAAAAACCAGCAGGTAAAGTCTGGCTTCAAAACATCTCTCTGCACAAGAGTGGGAGCTGGGGGAAAGGAGTGATACATTTTTTAATCACTGATATAATTATACTGGTATAAGATGTACTAACGTGGATGCTTTTATTTCCATGAAAATCTTCCATGCTAGCTAAAGCTAGACTGTAATAATCAGTAATACAAAAGTATAATGTAACTACACCATCTGAGTTTTGATACTTTACCTATATGAGGATGAAGTGGTGCAAATTTTATGTGTAGATAAAGATCTAATCTCAAAACAGGAGTAGAAGGAAAGCAGCAGCACCTTGAGGTTCTGCATGAAGACCAGTTAATAATTCATATATTTCTCCTATCTTCCTTAGAATAATAATTTTCTTTCCCCTCTTCATCTTATCCAGAAAAAACTTGGTTACTGAAAATTATCATCTTACCTATTGTATTATTTAATGTTCATTAGTAGAATTTCTTCACTGATATCATCTAGGAGAGGTCTGGCTGAACGGTTTTTCCCATGATTAGTTCTGGGATAAACAAACAGTCAGATCAGAACGTGTTCTGATTCTACTTTGCACTAGAAAAATTTACTATCAAGATACTTTAAGATAATGCTCCATTTCTCTAATTTGGCATGAAAAATTGTTATCATCCAAATCTTTCTATGACTTAAAGTAGTAGTATTTTTTTTAATGAAAATACATGTGCATGGGTTTAAATTAAAAATCAAACATCTTTAAAATACAGAGGTCTCCAAATACAAATTTTAGGATGGTAAAAGCCTGTTTCTTCACATTAGTTTATATAAATTGTGAATGGCTCAGTGTTATCCCTTATATTTTCAAAAAAAATTTTTTTTGAAGGAAGAAATACTTCTACACCTGTGGCGTTACCCTTCTCTCTCTATTCATGGGATTGAAGGAGCTTTTCATGAACCAGGAATTAAAACGGTCATTCCAGCAAAAGTAATTGGCAAATTCTCAATTCGTCAGGTCCCCCACATGGACCTTTTGGTTGTGAAACAACAGGTGAGAGACAAACCTTTTCTTTGGCCTCTCTTGTGTAAACTAAATCCCTCTTAGCACCTCACAAATTTTGACTTGCAGTAAACTGAATGTTTCTAGCACTGATTTGTTTCCAAGAGAAGTGGGAATGTGGGTATAAGCTTGAGTTTCAGGAAGATGAAAGCTTTTGACTGTAAAGTGTTTTCTCTGCAGGTAGTGGAACACTTGAAGGCTGTCTTTTCCAAGAGGAACAGTCCAAACAAACTGAAAGTATCTATGCCTTTGGGTTCAAAGCCCTGGCTTGCTGATGTTAATGACCTATCATATAAAGCAGCAAGAAGGGCAATAAAAACAGGTGTGTTCCTTCTTTTTTTTTTTCACTTCCTAATGTGTCTGGAGGTGTGCAGGGGAATTTCCTCATCAAGAGAAAAAGAGGTTTCCCAATTCAGTGCTACAGCCACTTACCCCTATAATCTCATTGATTTTGATAGAACAAGTCGGCAACATCTTTCACACCTTCCTAAACTGGGGCATGTTTAATAGGAGTAGCCAAAAGACCTCATTTACTTATTTTTGTGCTGATAGAAAACCAGAGGTTTGTAGAGTACAGCCGATTTGTGAAACCAGTTTGCTATACACTCAAAACCATTTCTACTTAGAAGCTCTTAGTATCAGCTATCTGCTTAAATATATGGTAACAGAAAAAAAAGCACTTTGATTTCATTTAATCATTAATTCTTTCTTCCCACGTATTTCAGTTTTTGGAGAAGACCCAGACTTTATTCGTGATGGTTCAACAATTCCTGTGGCCAGAATGTTCCAGACCATTAGGCAGAAAAGTGTGATGATGCTTCCAATTGGAGCAGCTGAAGATGGGGAGCACTCTCAGAATGAGAAAATAAGCAAGTGTCTTTTATTTGTCTGTTTGTGTTGTTAGAGAACGGAGAAGAACTGAAGTCCCTTGGTACCCATGAATGACCATGGCTGGATGGGAAGCTTTGCTGTGCATTTGACAGTCCAAAACTCCTGTCTCCAGCAAACTTTTTGCTATGTTAAGTAGAAAGCAAAATTCCCAATCTGTTGTATACTGCTATATGCTTTTCATTGACTGTCTACACAGTCTTCAAATACATCACACCGGCAATTTTCATTTCACTGGTAATGAAACTTGCCTCTAGTCTGAAAGATGGTGATGTGGATGGGCACTCTTCTGTCACAGCATCCATTTTGAAGCATGTGAGTTGTAGATATGCAGGCTCATGGCTATGTAAAAATTTTGATGATTTTCTGTATAAATGGCTATAAGGATGTATCTATATTTCAGGGACCAAAACTAGTGGCACAAATAGCCACTGCTCATTCTTCGAGGCACCATGGCAAGACACTATTCAACATGTTGCCTGAACACTTGTGCAGCTTCCAAGTCTGCTCATGCTGAACTGCAGAAATTGGAGAATACTACAGTAATTCTCAAATTGCTTTCTGTTTCTCCTCATTACAGCCTCAACACTTATGGCTACAGAAAATAGCAATTTGGGGATGTAACACTGGAAAAATTTTCAGAAGTGACTCCTTCAGAGGAGTACCAAATTGAAGGATGTCCAGCATTTCTGTGCACTGGGTCCTTTTTTGGGGTTACCAATCTTGCAAATTCCTCTGAAGACTCTGAAAACTTCACTAGATTATGTTGCTAATTCTAAGAGCAGAACAGCCTGACAGGACTTCATTGTCTTTTTTTTCCTTCTTCACAGACACAGCTATATTAAGGGAACCAAAATGTTTGCAGCCTTTTTCCTGGAGATATCGAAGCTACATCAGCACTTACATGAAACTTCCCACACAGAAACTAACAACTGATGGAGTATCACAAGAAAACCAGCAAAGCATTTTTTTAGTACTAAACTTTCTAACTTCCTGATCTGGAAAAACATAAATCACATATTCAGTGGGTAAGAATTGGTGGGAAAAAAAAATAAATGCCTTGCTATTACTTGGCATACTTCTAAATGGCATGCATCTGTGATATGGTCAATCAAGTGATCTTATCCCTAATCCCATAAAATAGGGTTAGGGATAATCCATTCTTGCTGAATGAAGATGTTATCTTTTAGTTTCAAAATTCAGGACAAAGGGAATTTTTACACCTGTGTTATTAAAATTATTTCTGTTTTGTAGTATCACCATCTTCATGCTGCCTAGCTTATATTCCAGTTTCTGAATATAAGCAATACACAACTCTGTAGTTTCCTCCTAATTATATACAAAATTTCATTTATGTAATTCTTTGAAGAAAGATCCACTACCCAGTTAATCTCCTCTCTGTCCTTCACAGAAGGTTTTAAATAGGGAAATGCAATAGAATCAGTTTGTTTAATTTGATATGAAGACTTGCCTATTAATATCTATTTATGGGTATGATCACTGAGGTCAATAAAACTGCAGTAGTAAATAAACATTTCCAGGTCTGGATTCTGCCCTTCTTTTCATCCAAATCTCCTCTTACTGTGCTGTGAGCGGTTTTAAGATTCATTAAATAACGTTTCCTTCATGGATTTTCTTTTTGTACAGTAGAAAAAAGTTTTTGTAATCATCTGTTCTGGCCAAAGTCTATCCTCAAAAGGGTATTTTTTCACCCAATTAGCAACTGTTTGTTTTTAATTACTTTCAAAGCATCAGTTTACATTGATGATTAAACCAAATGCAAATTATATATTTTGAAATGGAAACACTACCTGAGAGCTCTGTTTGCTGTTTAGGCAAAACATCCAGCACAAAGCACCCAATTCAAATCTAGATTTTTTTAACTTTAAAATGTGATTTTTACTCTAATGTAGTTAATTCACACACAACCAAACCAACTGAACCAGTTGTGTTATCCCTACTGTTAAAAAAATGACATTATTAAATTACAGAAATAGTTGGGATCCTTCCTTTCTCTCCTGCTACCTCCTTGCAAAAACCCTCAAGAATAAAGATGCAGATGTGTAATCTATAGAAGAGAATATTGTACTGCATATAACTTATATGAATAGATAATGTAGGAAGTTATTTGGACAAAAGCCTTGGCTGAATAAAAAAACATAAATACATAAACTTCTGATTTTCAGTAGGTCCTATGAAATTCTTAGGAGAAGTGCATAAAAGTAGCTGGCCTTTTAAGACATCTGGGAACAGTTATAATCCAGGCTGCTTAGGTTTCAAATCACATTCTCAATAAACACCCATTTTCAGACCTACTTGGGGCTGTGAGACTCACAGTTCAGCTGTAAGAGCTGATTATGGATGCTGGCTGCTGGCCGTGTTCAAGGGGAAGAGAAGGACTCTGCTCAGTCTCCTACTCATGTTGGCACTGCAGACTGCATAACCGCAGTGTAACTTTTCACCCTCATGTCAAGAGAGAAGACTCCAAGTCAAGGACCAAAAGCCCAAAGATCAGAAGATTCTGGTTCGCGCATCATCAGCTTGTAGAACAAGTCCTCTGCAGTCTCTCACTTCCCTTCACCTGTTGAAACCATTATAGGAACCAGCACTGTAACAAATGGTGCAGGGGTGAGTATTCCAATGTCTGCACAGGAATCAGGGCAGACTGGTCCATGGTTGAAAGCTGTCACATCATAGAGGTACATGAGTGAATTTTGCTGAAGTATTTGAAGACATATAATTGACATAAAACATTGCAATCTCTGGATTTGCAGTGGTTTTACAAATAAACTTCAAAAAGCATTGAAAGAAACTGCTGCTCATAAACATGACACTTCGGGCCGAAGAGTAGAAAGCTTGGTGAGATGGAGGTAGCAGATTTCTCCACGAAAGAGGTATGCAGACTGTGTTTCTAGAAATATAACTGCTCTGAAATATCACTACAATACATGCTGTCTATGCGTTCCACAACGTTACAAAGCACAATTGAAGGGATTATGTATTTCTACAGTTGCTCTTCGGAATGTCAAACAGAATATAGTCAACAAAGGCAGCATCATTTTATAACCACAGACACCATCAGAACAGTGCACTGAAATAAGGCTGTGCTCTAAAATAGCCACTTCCTGTCAAGTTAAAACCATGTGCGTGAAACAGTGGGACCAATGAATTATGCAGACCATCTCCATGCCTCCTTCAGTCCCAGAGGAGATAAATAGCAGAAAATTTCCGTTTCTCCTAGCCATGAAAGAAAGCACTGGGGAAGCCACTCATGCCCAAAGGGGTATCCAGAGCTACTATTTCCCTCTTAGATCAAGAACGAGTATCCACCCCGTCTTTTCCTTTTTTTATAGATTTTGCAGCATCTCATCAGCCTTTTGAAAAAAAAAAAAAAAGGTGTGCATTTTTCTAAGGTCTGTACTGTTATACAACATTTCTAGCAATGTTACTTCTTGGTTGCGTTAACAGCTATTTGTTGCCACAGTAAGTTAAAGATAACTCTCCAATAATAGTGTCAGAAATAGGATTAAAGTTCGCTTCCTTTGTTAGCTATATTCTAGATATGCCATATCCCATGTCATAGAATATTAGGTAGTCTCAAATCCTGACCACCTAACTACAGAAATGGTATGTGCACTTTGTGTGTGTACATGTGCACGTATGTAGCTATACGTATATACATGTACACTTGCAAGATCTAATCCAGTCACCGACCTAAAAAAAAAAGAAAATCTTGCTTATTCTGATTCAGGTTTTTTCTTACTAAGGATTGAATAAGGGGAAAACAACTTTGTGGAGATGTCTAACAGCAGCATCTATATCTTTGACAGCTTGACACACATATCAAGACTTGATTGTAGAATCATAAAAGGGTTTGGGTTGGAAGGGTCCTTAAAGATCATAGAATCATAGAATAGTTTGGGCTGGAAGAGACCTTCGGAAGCCATCTAATCCAAGCGCTCTGCAATGAGCAGGATCAACTAGATCAGTTTGTTCAGTGCCCTGTCCAAGCTGACCTTAAATATGTCCAGGGATGGGGCATCAACCACTTCTCTGGGCAACCTCTGCCAGTGTTTCATCGCAAAAAAAATTGTTCATATATCTAGTTTAAACCTACACTTTTTAAGTTTAAAACCACTATCTCTTGTGCACTATTGCAACAGGCCCTGCTAAAAAGTTTGTCCCCCATCTTTCTAATAGGTCCCCTTTAAGTACTGGAAGGCTGATACAAGGTTTCCCCAGAGCCTTCTCTTCTCCAGGCTGAACAGCCCAAACTTTCTCTGCCTGTCTTTGCAGGAGAGGTGCTCCATCCCTCTGATCAGCTTGGTGGCCCTCCTCTGGATTCATTCTAAGAGGTCCACGTCTTTGTTGTCATGAGGACCCCAGATGGGGTGGGGGTCTCAAGAGGGCAGAGTAGAGGGGGAGAATCATGTCCCTCGACCTGCTGGCCATGCTGCTTTTGATGCAGCTGCCACTGTGTAATGATGCAGTTGCAAGTGTACACTGTTGGCTCATGTCCAGCTTTTCATCCAACAGAAAACCTCCAAGTCCTTCTCTGCAAGGCTGTTCTCAAAGAATTATGATTATTAGCAAGCCTAATGACACTGGGGATGTCCTAAAGTACCTGAGAAATATATCTCTAGGATGGCAGACACTACTCGGGTCCTGCATGAACACTGCCAGTGGAGTGGCAGCCAGCCAAATGCCCCAGAGCATATCTAATAGCATGAAGTGCCTATACATAGCTGGTCAAGGTCTGCCCATCTCCCTAGTACATTGTCCTAAGTCTTCCCCTTTTTTAGGCTATAGAGAATCGAACATTCACGAGTGGGAGCATATTTTCATGCTGATTATTAATGTGAAAGAATGAATCAGAATATTTTCATTTCCACTTAAAATCAGCGGGTTTAAGTGTGCAAGTTGCTTTTTTATATTAGATAAATACAGCTTTTAATCTTGAAGTAACGTTTCAAAAGAGAAGACTAAAAAATGTGTCAGCTAAAATCACAGAGAATAAGATGCTGACAATAGGAGCTGAAGGCATAGAGAGTTAAGCAGCCCTCCTGAGACTGAGAACTAATCAGGTCATCATCTGCTTAGCCTGTGAAAGTGGAAGATTAGGCTTACTCATGTAGTTATGGTTTTCCTTTTCAGTAACATTACTCCCAAGAAGCTTGACTTTGACTCCTGATAGTTATTCTTTTCAGAAGACAGCATTTAGCCTGTTTCACAAAATGTAATAAAATGCCTTGCTAGTTAAGAATGTTCATAGTTCGTGTTTAGACAAGGAAGATTGTGCAACTGTGCCTTTACCATTGACACAGGAGCTCGTGTCACAGGGGCTGGTGCCATTGAAGACACACGAGTTCCCCTGCTCCGGCTGGAAAATGCCACCTGCAAGTAACTTGTAAAGTTAAATACTGATGCATGAAAAAAGTCCTGAACACAATCTTCTCATTTCATAGATCCTGTTTGGTCTCCCCAACTCATCTCTGTGTGGCTCACCATTGGGTGCATGGGGTGCCTGTGTGTGCAAAACTCAAATATGGGTAAGTATATGTAACCGTGGCCCCTCGTTCTCACCTACCTCCAGGGATTGTCCTCACTGCTAACCACAACAGTCACTGCTAGCTATTTTCCACCATGGGATTTTCTAAGACCCTCATAAAACGTTTGCAGTTTCTTACCCTTTCTCCTTCCCACTTGTTTTTTTAGAAGACTTCTTTTCTAGGAAGGTGGTGACTATAGAATTGGTCAGAACTCAACAAAAGTCGTACTTCACCTATACTTATTGTCATACCTTTAAGAGGTATGTCACTAGCTAAATATTTTAAACAAATATATGAATAGAAAAATATGAACAGTTCCATGTTAACAGAGTGCATATTTGTCTCCTTAGCTCTACTGCCAAATATTTCAGTGACCTTCTCACTTTCATTCTTCAGAATTATGTATCAAGAACA